CCCCGAGGTCGCCGGGGGGTCGCTGGTTGAAAACCAGGTCGCCGACGACGAACGTCGCCCGCGTCTTGGCGCCCCCGGCCCCTCGGTCTCCCTGATCCTGGAGGAGCAGGTTCGCGAGCTGGCAGCGCCGGGAGTTCGCGCGAGCCCGCTCGTGTGGAGCGCCATCGCAGAGGATCTCTTCGTTCGGAATCTCATCGAGCCCATCGAAGCTGAGCGCGTGCACCACGACTGGGAGAAGCCTGCGGTGGCCAGATGCATGGGAGTTGCCAGGCCGGGCGAGACCGCGTGTTCGGGGCAGCCCGTGCTCGGGCGCATTATCAACCTCGCCCCGATGTACTCTTGCCTACGGGGGATCGCCGGTGACATTGTTCAGGTGAGCATGGGCGCCGCTTGGCAGACGCTAGTTTTGGCGGGCAAGTCCTCCGCGCGCCGGAAGCGCCCGTTCGAATTTCCAACCGGTCGGGGGCCATTTTGCGCTCTCGGGCGCCAGCTAGACAAGGGCACGATCACGCAAGGACCTTCATCTGCCTTCCGATGGCGCGAGCGCAGTGCAGCATGCGCATCGGCAGTTTCAGTTTGCTGGGGCGCGCCCGCGTGCTTCTGCGGATTCTAACAGGCGTCGCCCAAGTGCAGCATCTGTCTTCCAGGGTCGCCGGGGCACCTGACATGCGCATGTTGACGACTTCAGCGAATTCGAGAGCGCTCTACGGCGCGCGGGCCCCGCCGGTCCGGGTCGGCACCGGCAGTCGGCGCGGGCCGCTCGTCAAGCGGCCGCCTTGCCGCGGGCCGCGGCAGATCTCACGAGCGCGGCGTCGGAGGCCCGTCTGGATGGAGCCGGGGCCGCCTGCGCTCTTCAAGGGTGGCCAGGCCAGATCGACAACGTCGACGGTCGAAGGCGCCTTCTTCTGGACGAGGCCCCCCTTCGCAGCGCAGCAGGTCCCGCAGCTATTTGGGCAAAGCGGCAGGAGAAGATGCGGCGAATCATGTGGAAGCCCAGCGGCGCGCGGCCGCGGGCAACGCCCTTCGCGCGGGCCCATTGGGGGTGATGCTGTCGCTGGGGCTCTCCGCGGCCATCGGCGAGGACGTTTCTCCAGGCGTGCATGCGGCGGTGGGGGCGCGCCGGTCGGGGCGGGGCGACGCGGCCCCGGGCGCCTTTTGCGAACATGGAGATCGCGGAAGCGACGTGCGCTTCGCAGTTCTGCGCTGGCCTAGCCCTTGGCCGCGGGTGTCCAGAATCCCGAACAGCTGGGCGCGGGAAGCCGCGGCGTCCAAGAAGTGGCGCGATAAACAGCGCACCAATCGATTTGAACGGCGAGGGCATGGATCATTCTACGGTGTCGCACACGTCGATCCAGCTTCCACCGCGCACGCCTCGTTCGCTCACTTGACAGCCAAGCGTCGCGGGCGGCGGCAATCAAGAGAAGGGGCATTGCGAGCTCCTCCAACCGAGTGTCGCGCAAGATGTCGGCCCTGCTTGTCGCCTGCAACGCTGCCGGCCTGCGCAGGCGCGTCGCGAGCGAAGTTGACCCCGCAGATTTCGCCTCGCGAGTTTTCGACCAAAGCCTGATCGACCGCACTGACGACGAAGAACGATCGGCGACGAGAACGGGCTCAGCACGGAGGCCTGAACCAGCAGGTCTTCGCGCCTAGCACGTCAGAGATGCGACGCACAAAATTCACATATCCAGATTTCGTAACTGCACACTGCACAAAATGCTGGCTCACACCAACGATTTGTTAGTCGAGGTGTTATGTGGATGCGTTGGCACTCAATGGAGAGAGCGTGATTCCAAAGGGAAGCATCTTACTGTCATGCTGCCATCCAGCACTACTACGAGCTATTCCTTTCATTGGCCGGAAAAGGTTTTGGAGAAGTTGGGGCAAAAAGGAATTGCCATCGAGGGTGGGGCCAGCATTTCCAAAGTCATGCGCGCCATAGTGGGCAGCCTGTTGGTAATGGTCAGCGCTGGATGGCCATTCTGTAGCTGCTTGCTAACGGGCGCAAGCGTTGGGCTTTTTCGACAGCCACTGTACTCCAACGACCAGGATGAACGCGGAGTCTTCGCGCTTCACGAAACAAACTTCCAAACGCGCGGGCATCATGGAGACCGTTACCATTTAAAGTCCGCGGGTCCTTAGCTGTGCAAGAAAGCTGCGTAAGCGGTGGTTCCCTGGATATTGTCTTGCACGACGTTGCAATGCCGACGCGTCGTCGCAAGTTGTGCCAAACGTTCCGAGGTTTGGAAGTGGATGGCGGCGAAGGCAGCCCACATTCGCGACGACGGGGTGGCGCGACCTCCGATTTCAGAACCCGCGGCCAACATGGAGCAAACGTTGGTCTGGGGCCGATGGGCTTCGACTCGGAAGAAAACAGGCTGTGCATCCAGGAGGGCGTCGCCACACTGGCTGAGGTTCAGCTGTCACAAAAACAGCTTCGACGAGCGAGGGCGGCAGACAGGAGGCTGCCAGGTGAGAAGCGTGAGCCGCTAGGACCGGTAAGTGGACGGGCGTTTGCCCCGGCGGTCTCAGGGCCCGGAGCCGTTTTTGGGCGAGGCTGGGGCTCAGGGTGGCCCCGGCGGGCTCGCCTTTGTCACTCCATCATAGTGGACCAGCTCCGCAATCAGCATGGCTTTCATCACTCGCTGGCGGCCAGGCGAAAAGTGGAGCTGACTGCGACGGCGATCGCCGCCATGGCAGTCTCGGCTCGCCCGCCCTATTCCCGCCCAGGCTGGGCGCACAGCTTGCGTGACTGCCTGGGAAGGAGACGTCGCCCCCCTCGAGGCTTATGGTTTTTTCTCTGAAGGCTATGTCCTGTATGTGCCTCAAGACTGGCTTGGTCTTAGCAGGGGTCGCGCGGGGTCGTTTTGTGTCTGGGCGCCTGCTCAGCCCCCTGGAGATCCATGGCGCCTCAGCTGTAAGACTTGGCTTCTTGCTTCTTACATTTATGAAGTATGCCAGCACGCCTCGATGGTCGCATTTATGTGGCGAGACACCACCCAGATGATGAGCACGATGACATATCCATTGGCATCGACATCCTCTTTTCCCCCATCTCATCCTTTTCAAGCTCGAAAATGCCATCTCAACATTTGCCCTTATGGCTTGCTTTTGAGATGACGTTTTCTACCGCAGAAAAACGGCAACGGCGATCCGCACAGCGAAGCCCAACTTCAGCCGCGCACCCACGGATTATACAAGACCTCTCGGCCTATCACTCTGATTACACACGAATCAGGTGGCGTACATAGTGCATCCAGCAGATATTTCTCCCATGCTATCTCTCATTCAATGCGCGTGAACATGCAATGTGTAATGTTGCATGGTTTTTGATGTTGGAATTCATTGTTTTACGAACGCACGTGGGAAATCGAGACATGCTAGCATATTTATTAAATACAAGAAGCAAGCGGCCAAGTTTTACAGCTAAGGCGTTATGGATTTCCAGGGAGCTGAGCGGGCGCCAAGACAGAAAACGACCCCGCGCGAACCCTGCTCAGACCAAACCAGCCTTGAGGGGCCTACAAGACATGGCCTTGAGATCAAAAAACATAAGCCTCGAGGGGGACGGCATCTCCTTAGGGGTGAGGCTTTCAACGCGTCTCAATAAAATCAGCGTGGTCCAACCGGGCTGATCAATGTGCGGGGGTTTGCCCCGCTTGTCTGAGCGCCTTCCTCTGGAACCGTCTTTGGGTGAGGCTGGCCACGGCGGGTTCCTTTAGGGGGATGCCTTCTGGCGTTAGCCCGCCCATCGTAATGGACCAGTTTCGTAGTCAATATGCTGGTTTTCATCGCTCTCTGGCGATGGGGCGAACAAGATGCGCAGTCCAGCACGGCAGCATCATCATCATCAGCAGCAGCAGCATCATCAACATCATCATCATCACCATCAGCAGCATCATCTGCATCGTCCTCATCATCCTCATCGGTATCATTACCATGAGCAGCAGCATCATATTTTTCATCACCACTTTCATCGCCATCATCAACAGCATGTCCATCAGTATCAGCCACATCATCATCACAACCACGATCACCAGCACAATAATAATGGTAATACTGATGTTGGCAAAAGTGAAAATATCGAGAATACGACGAATAATAGCATTACGAATACTACGATCGGTATCGCCATCATCATCATCACCATCATCACCATCATCACCACCATCATCATCATCGTTTTTCTTATCGTCAGCACCATAAGTTTAATCAGCATCAGCAGCACCATCATCACCACCACCATCCTCATCATCACCATCATCATCACCCCCTCCATCATCACCATCATCATCATCATCAGCATCATCAGCATCATCACCATCATCATCATCACCATCATCACCATCATCACCTTCACCATTACCATCAGCATCATCATCAGCATCATCATCATCATCATCATCAGCATCATCATCGTCGTCATCAGCATCATCATCAATTGTCCTCCTCCCCTCTTACTGATCCTGCTCTCCAGTGTTCCTCTTACTGTTCCTCCCTCCTCCCTCCTCCTCCTCCTCCTCCTCCTCCCTCCTCCTTCCCCTCCTCATCCTCCTTCTCCTCCAGCTCTTCTTCCCCCTCCTCATCCCCCGCCTCTTTCCCTCCTTCTCCTCCTTCTCCTCCTTCTCCTCCTCCTGCTCCTGCTCCTCCTCCCTCTCCTCCCCCTTCCCCTCCTCCTTTTCCTCTTCCCTCTGATCCTCCTCGTCCTCATCCCTCCCCCTCCCCCTCCTCGTCCTCATCCTGCCTCCTCATCCTGCTCCTCCTCCTCCCTCCTTCTCCTCCCCTCCTCCCCACCTCCTTTCCTCCGCTCCTCCTCCTCCTCCTCCTCCCTCCTCCTCCTCCTCCTGCTCTGCTCCTCCCCTTCCTCCTCCTCCTCCTCTCTCCTCCTCCTCCTCCTCCTCCTCCTCCTCCTCCTTGTCCTCCTTGTCCTCCTCCTCCTCCTCCTCCTCCTCCTCCTCGTTTGCTTCCATCGTCATCATCACCCATCGGCTGCTCCCGCCGAGGACCGCGGAGGACCCAGCCACGGCCGCTGTACAGTACGGCGTGGCGGGCCGCGGCGAGGCGTCGGGGGGCTCGTTGGAATTGCCGCCGGAGACGGACGAGGACCAGCCTGCCAGGGGTCGAACGACAGTCTTGGGCTGGGGGGGGTGGGCACCTGTAGGGGAAGGCCAGCGGGGGAAGGGGGAAGAGGAACGGGATAGGCGAGGGGTACGGGGAAGGAAGGGAGGGAGGGCGGCGAGGGAAGGCGGACAGACCAGAGCGTCCAAGCGCGCGGAGAGCAGGGACGTGCGGGGGGAGGGCAGGCGGGAGGAGCCTAGGACGCAGGGCCCGACGAGCAGAGACAGCTCACGAGCGAGAGCGGGTGTAGGCTGCCGACGACGGAGCCGTGAGCAGGCCAGCCAGAGGTCGAGCGACGGTCTGGGGAAGCACCTCCTCCTTCTCCTCATCATCATCCTCCTCATCCTCCTCATCTTTATCCTCCTTCTCCTCGAGCCAAGCAGCTGCTTATTCAAGCAACTGCTTACCGAACTTGTTCGTGAAGTTGCCTTACCGCACGTATTGTAGTGGCCTCCGGCCAGTGCCGCCGATCCGGGGCGCTCCGCAAGATGATGATCAGGATGATGCTGCAGGGGAGAGGGCAGGGGAGGGGGTCTGCTCTGCAGGGGGAGTCCGCTCGGCAGAGGGAGGGACTGCAGGGGAGAGGGGTGGTCCGCTCTGAAGGAGGGGGGGGCTGCAGGAGAGGAAGTCTGCTCTGCAGAGGGGGGGGGGCAGGGGAGGGGGGGGCGTCCGCTCTGCAGGGGGGGGGGCTGCACGGAGCGGGGTCCGCTCTGCAGCGGGGGGGAGGGGCCGGGCTGCAGGGAGGGGGGGGCGGTCCGCTCTGCAGGGGGGGGGTCCGCTCTGGGAGGAGGGGGTGCTGCAGGAGGGCGGGTCTGCTCTGCAGAGGGGGGGGGAGCAGGGGAGGAGGGGGGGACCCGCTCTGCAAGGGGGGGGGCTGCAGGGAGGAGGTCCGCTCTGCAGGGAACTGCTTACCGAACTTGTTCGTGCAGTTGCCTTACCGTACATACTTCCAGCATGACGCAGGATATGCCTGGAAGGCTACAGCGCCCACAGGCGAGACTCCGGCTGACAAACGCGCCAAGACAGACACAGACGCGTTTCATGGTGAAGAGGAGGCGATGGACGAGAAGAAGGAAGAAAAAGGTAGGACGGCGTTAGTGTAGAGGATGATGAAACCATAGATGGTGGGAGGGATGAGGGAACGGATGAATGTTTTTCGTTCGGCACAGTTTTTCGGAATGGACCTAGAAAAAACACTGTCCCCAGGAGATCGGTTGCGACCACAACACTACCCCCGTTGAGCAAGCTTTTTCGAAATTGACTTCGAAGAAAACAGTGCCCCCAGGAGGAGATCGGTCACGACCACAACAGCACCCTGTGCAGCAAGCTCTTTCGAAACCAACTCAGACGAAGGCAGTGCCCCCAGGAGGAGATCGAGAGGGGGCCGCGGGCCCGCGTCTCGAGGCAGCATGTCGTGACGCCGGAGCATCTGGGGGGGGGAGGCAGACGGCGGGGCGCGCGCTGCGGCGGCTGCCGAGAGGCGGCCGAAGTTTTCGGCGGAGGCGGCGACGGCCTAGAGCGGAGGCGGAGGCGCAGCGGGCGGGGGGCGGGAGGAGATGGGCGAGGGGCGGGGTACAGCCAGCCCGCACAGGACACGCCAGTCGTTGAAAGTGGGCATCCCTTGGGATTCCCAGACCTCCATCTACTTCAAGCGCCTTCCTACTTCACGGATCGACATGTCCCTGCTGTGTTCTGTTATTCCCAACCCTCCTGCGTTGGGTTCTCGTTTTGAATAGAGCCCTGCTCGCGCGAACCTTCCCCCCCCCCCCCCGTCCCTCTCTTCCCCCCTGCCTTTGACCTCGCTCGTCGCTGCGTTTCGAGGGACCTCGCTGGGGGGCTGCGATCTGTGAAACTGTCGCCACTTTCGAGGCCTGCTGGGGGGCCCAGCACAGTGGGTACCCACGGCGGATTCAAATGGGACCTCGCCATCCCTGGGGGGCTGCGATCTGTGAAACTGTCGCCACTTTCGAGGCCTGCTGGGGGGCCCAGCACAGTGGGGGATTCAAATTAGACCTCGCCATCCCTGGGGGGCTGCGATCTGTGAAACTGTCGCCGCTTTCGAGGCCTGCTGGGGGGCCCAGCACAGTGGGGCGGATTCAAATGGGACCTCGCCATCCCTGGGGGGCTGCGATCTGTGAAACTGTCGCCACTTTCGAGGGCTGCTGGGGGGCCCAGCACAGTGGGTACCCACGCGGATTCAAATTAGACCTCGCCATCCCTGGGGGGCTGCGATCTGTGAAACTGTCGCCACTTTCGAGGCCTGCTGGGGGGCCCAGCACAGTGGGTACCCACGGCGGATTCAAATTAGACCTCGCCATCCCTGGGGGGCTGCGATCTGTGAAACTGTCGCCACTTTCGAGGCCTGCTGGGGGGCCCAGCACAGTGGGTACCCACGGCGGATTCAAATGGGACCTCGCCATCCCTGGGGGGCTGCGATCTGTGAAACTGTCGCCACTTTCGAGGCCTGCTGGGGGGCCCAGCACAGTGGGTACACACGGCGGATTCAAATGGACCTCGCCATCCCTGGGGGGCTGCGATCTGTGAAACTGTCGCCACTTTCGAGGCCTGCTGGGGGGCCCAGCACAGTGGGTACCCACCGCAGTTCAAATTAGACGCCGCTTTCGTCCTTGTTCTCCTCCTGCAGTCACCTTCCCTCTGCTGCTGCCGTGCTGATGGTTCGGCTTCCCGCACGTTTTTCTCCTGCTCTGCGTTCCCGACTCCCCATGTCCTCTTCGAGCCTGTAGCTGTCGCCCCTCGTTCTTGTATGGTTCTCCTGCGCATCATGCCATAGGCGCGTGTCCCAAGTAGCTTACACATCAAGTTGATTGTCCATGCAAGGTTCGGCCAACTCCTCGTTTCCATTGATACAAATGGGTTGGGTACGTCACAGGTTAATTTTCTGGGAGGGCCTGAACCCAATCTACTTTATCCGCCTTCCTGCTTCATGGTTTTACCTACTTCTTCCGACCAGCCGGCGTGTAAGGATGGGCAATCTTCCCAAGGGTACCCTCGCGTCCTTGCCTCCTCGGTCCATCCTTGACCGCGTTCGTTGGCCGCGCCCCGCTCGCAAATTGTCGGCATGGCCTTCCAAAGCCCTTGCATGCTTACCGCGCATCCTTATTGCGAAGGCATTACGGCCGGTGCCGCCGACCCTGAAGGGGGACGACGACGACGACGACGACGACGACGACGACGACGACGCTGACATGGGTCAGAGTCTTCAGGGATTCTGTTTGGGGTCTCTTCGGAGCGATCTCGGAGGCCTCTGGGGGGCAGTTTGGGGGGCCCCGTGGGAGCATCTTGGAGGCCTCTTGGGAGCTTCTTGGGAGCCTCTTGGGGCTTCCTGGGAGCCTCTTGGGGGCTCCAAGAGTGGGGGCCTCTTGGGGCCTCCTGGGAGCCTCTCGGGGCCGAGGGCTCAAAATGTCCGTTTGGTTCCTCTGTCTGGGCACCATCTTGGAGCCTTCTTGGGGGCCTCTTGGGCCGTTTTGCAGGCGTCTTGGGCCGTCTTCGGGCCCTCTTTTGCTTGTTTCGGGACCCTCTTGGAGGCCTCTTGGGGCGATCGTTGGAGCCTCTTAGGCCGTTTGGAGCGTCGGGAAACTGAGAAGGCGAGAACGCCCAAATCTTTGAAAATCTCGAATGGAATCAGTGAATACTGCCTCTTGGGACTCTCTTTGGAGTGCTCTTCGAGACCTCTTGGGGCGTCTTCTAGCCTTCTTGGGCCTCGTGGGCCGTAAAGACGTCTCGGACCGATCGTTTGGCGATTCGGGGTCCTCTTGGAATGTCTTGGGGGCCTCTTGGACCACTCCTGTCTCGACTTGGGACTTTTTGGGCCCGGGCCCCTCAGGGAGGGGTGACCCAGGACCCCCTTGGGATCCCCCCCTGGGAACCCCCCCCCGGACCCCCCCCCGGGGACGTCCCCCTCATGGCGGGGAAGGGGTCAAACGGAATGGGCTTCCCTTCGACTCAATTACGACGTTGCTCAATTTCGTTCAAACTGGCGCGCTTGAGGAGGAGGGCCCAGGAAAAGGGGAGAGCGGCGACGGGCCCAGGGAAAGAGAGAGAGCGGCGACGGCGACGACGACGATGTCGACGAAGACGAGTCAAACGGAACAGCCACTTCCACACGCCAACAGGGTCGGCGGATTTGACTTATCCAAGTTCGTCGCTGCGCGCGAGGCCGTGTGTGTGTGTTGTGTGTGGTGTGTGTGTGTGTGTGCGTGTGCGTGTGCGTGTGCGTGTGCGTGTGTGTGTGTGTGTGTGCGTGTGTACGTGTGTGAGTGCGTGTGTGTGCGTGTGTTTGTGCGTATGCGCGTGTGTGTGTGCGCGTGTGTGCCAGTATGCGTGTGTGTGTGCATGCGTGTTTTTGTGTGCGTGTGCGTGTGCGTGTGCGTGTGCGTGTGTGTACGTGTACGTGTCCGTGTCCGTGTACGTGTACGTCTACGTGCATGTGTACGTGTACGTGTACGTGTACGTGTACGCGGTCGTGTACGTGTACGTGTGTACGTGTACGTGTACGTGTACGTGTACGTGTACGTGTAAGTGTAAGTGTAAGTGTACGTGTGTGTACGTGTGTGTACATGTGTGTGTGTGTGCGCGTGAGCGTGGCGTGTGTGTGTGTGTGTGTGTGTTTGCGTGTGTGTGTGTGTGTGTGTGTGTGTCCGCGTGTGCGTGCGTGTGCTTGTGCTTGTGCGTGTGCGTGTGCGTGTGCGTGTGCGTGTGCGTGTGCGTGTGTGTGCGTGTGTGTGGGTGTGGGTGTGCGTGTGCGTGTGCGTGTGCGTGTGCGTGTGCGTGTGCGTGTGCGGGTGCGGGTGCGTGTGCGGGTGCGTGTGCGCGTGTGTGTGTGTGTGTGTGTGCCTGTTTGTCTGTGTGTGGGCTATGTTCCGCTGTATTGTGTGTGGCGGTGAAAGTGCGTATTCATTATGTGTGTTGATCGTGTTTTATGCACGCGCGCGCGTGCCTCATGCTCACCGAGCAGCAGCTGCTCG